CCAAGGGATTTCACAACCCATCCCGGTGGGAACCCCTGCCACATGGCAGCTACAATTGGTGATAACTTGTCAAGTGGGAAGGTTGTTAAAGGGTGAGGACCTGGGTTCGAGGAACGCCAGGCGCACCAATAACCTACCTGGTGGGCTAGGAAGCTGCGAGCAAGTGTGCTGCACAGTTTGGGCCCATAGAAGAGAGGTTAGGATCGATGCGCTGCAGCGCTTGTAGCTGCCATGTGGCGGGGTGTGCCATGTCGAAAGGGTTCCCACCGGGATGGGTTGTTACAATTAAAAGTCGACTTTTATGTAACAACCAGTCCTGTGGGATCATCCACCATGTGGCACACCCCGCCACATGGGCCAGGAGGCTGCGAGCAGTGGTTTAGTGTTTTGAATTACAAAATTATTTTTTAATTTAAAATGATTATACAATTATGTTCAAATTTTTACATTGTTAGAAGAGATTTTAAATTAAAATACGCCCACCGCGCGAGTACAAAATCTAGTACTAAAAATACTATGGAAGGTACACGACAAACTACATTTGGAAGTTAAAACCAACATTTTTATCGTTCAATATTACAAACTAGAGAGATAAAACATAGGCGGAACAATTAGTTGGATAATCGTGTCAAACGATGTTTTCATTTGTTTCTGGTAAGAAGAGATTTTTGATTTTGATGAATGAATTGAATGAGTGAGTGAGAGAGAGAGAGAGAGAGAGAGAGAGAGAGAGAGAGAGAGAGAGAGAGAGAGAGAGAGAGAGAGAGAGAGAGAGAGAGAGGTGAAACATACATTCCTTTGTGGACCAAGGAGTTGGCTCCTTCTCCAATCCTCTGTCCCATCCAGACTTCCTTAGGATCAAGAAGCAGCTCTCTTCTGATGGTGAAATTGAATGGCTCACTGTTAGACTCGTTTTCATCTGAGCCAAACGCTGACATGAAAAAAGGGTAGTTAGGGAAAACCATCGTCTTCGTTGCAATGGCCATTGTTGGAGCTCGCTGCTGGGACATTTGAGCTTTCATTTTTATGGTTTTTGAAGAGAGGAGTGAAGAAGATAAGAGTGAAAGAGGAAGTGACTAGGTTACATAGATATATACTAGAGTTTGGAGGATACTTATGTAATAACAGTGTGATTAGAGGAAACAAAAAATAATAAAAAAATAAAATTTATGTATTAATTGAGAATTGTAACCCTGAAAGGGAAAATATACAAACCGTTACACAAAGGAATCTTTTCTCTTTAAGTAATTTTCTTTTGTCCATATATGTTTAATCTAATCTTATCTTTCTAATTGTCTTTTTGCATTTATGCTAAATATCTTTCCTCTTTTTATATAAATTTACTAATATCTATGGTGGACTTAAAAATAAAAACTTACTTAAAACTGAAAATGACTTTTTTTTTTTTCAGTTTCTCTGCTTGTAAAAAATATCTGGGATTTTTTTTCTTTTGTTCCAACAAATAATTAAAATTACGAGTTCATGAGATAAAAATAGAGTTAGGAGTCCATTATGTATGAGTTCAGGTTCTATTAAATGATAAGTAAGCGATTCAATAATGGTTTTAATGCTTAATAAACATATCTTTTACAGTGTAACTATTGAAACATATAATGTTTTTAATATCATAAAAAAAAAGTTAATTATTGAATCGATGTAACTAAATCTTATACTATTTTTTCTACTCATCACTCAAATTTTAGTTCTCCACTAAAAAAAACTTAAACAGATAGTATAAACCAAACAACCAATACTTTATAATTAAAAGTGACAATTAAAATATCAGTCAACATTACCTTCTTTTTTTTTTTTTTTTGGTCGACAGTCAACATTACCTTCTAGTAATTCTAAAACCACAACTCAACTTGAGATTTATATAGTGGTTACCACAAAGGATATATATCTTAAAGAAAAAAATAGTTGAAATCTCCATGAAAATCAAAGAAGAAAGATTGATAACTGAACTGATGGAAAAGAAAAAGATAGGTCCAATTCTCTTACAATAACAAGAAAATCTGAAAAATGCAAAGAAGACACAACGAAACAACGAAAGAAGACCACAGCCCTTTCTTTTATTTTTAAAGAGAACACAAAAAAAGTTGATCATGGCTTGTAAAAACAAGCCCTGAACATCTTCACGAAAGGACGAATCATTTTCTTCACCACTTTCTTCTTCTTCTTCTTATCCTCCTCCTCCTTAGCTTCGTCCACCTCTCTATGCTGAGGACTGTTCTCTGAATCTTCTATGTCAGCGTCATAAGCTTCATCATCAGCATAAGCTTCATCATCAGCATAAGCTTCAGCATCACCATAAACTTCATCATCAGCATAAGCTTCATCATCAGCATCAGCATAAGCTTCATCATCAGCATCAGCATAAGCTTCATCATCAGCATTGGATAGTGGTGCGTCAAGAACACTGTCTGGGGTCAAATTGCTTAACAAGTTTGTCAGTGAGTCAGTAATTTCCCTGAACTCAGGCCGTGCATCCGGATCTTTATCCCAGCAAGATTCAAGGATGGGGATGATTTGATATGGAATTTTCCCAAGACATGGTCTCTCATCCTGTAAAGGAAATAGAATCCAACATCTTAGAATCATTACCCATTTCAATTTAAAAGTTTGATTTATATGACTCACCCTATTTACAAGAGAAGAAACACAAAGGCTAGGCACCTTAGGGAATGGTGGTTGATTACTAAGCAGCTCCCAAAAAACTACAGCAAAGCTGTAAACATCAACTTTATGATCATAGTGCCTTTTCTCTCCAATTCTCAGCGGCTCATTGCTAATTACCTGTGGTTACAAAACATAAAATCTAATCATTTATATGTTCTGAAATATATAAAAGATTTAATTAGCTCTAAAGATTCACCTCTGGAGCCATCCATCTACAGGTCCAAGAATCAAATGTCTTTTTGACACCTCTAGTCTCTCTTCTTGCAATTCCAAAATCAGCCAATTTCACATGTTCTTGATCACCAGTTACCAACAAATTCCCTACACAGACACACCAAAACTTCAAATCGTTTCATTATACGTTCTCTACAAGACATGATGTGTATAAATGAAGCTTATTTACTTGGGTTTAGATCACGGTGAATGATGCCTTTTGAGTGCAAAAACTCCATGGCTCGAGAAATATCCAAAGCAAATCCTAGTGACATCCTTACATCAGGAGGACTCGGACGACAATTCAACATGTACTTCTGAAGGGTGCCGCCTTCAATGAGTTCGGTAACTATCATCAGTTGTGGCTCTATGCTAGCTCCAAAGAACTGTTCATTTACAAAGAACCATGATTAATTGCTCATTATTATAAACTTATATGATTGATATAAAAAACACCAAAATAAATAAAAAAAAAAAACCTCCACAATGTTATCATGTTTCATCTTGGATAGTAACACAACTTCCCTTTGAAACAATTTTTTTTCCTCTATGCTTACAGCAGATGCCTTTCTTGGCTGCACTATCTTCACCGCCACGGGAAACTGGTTTCTAAACCTATAAATCATTATAAATAAAAAATATGAAATAAGTGATAAACATGAATATTAAACTCATCATTATAAAAGAGAGAAAGAGATAGAGAGATGGAACAAACCATCCTTGGTAGACGGTGAAGTAGTCTCCTACTCCAATCATACTTCCGACTAGGAGATCGTTCGGGTCGAGAAGAAGCTCGCTGTTGATCCTGAAACGGAATTGCTCGTTGGACTCGTTGCCAGAAGGGTTGTTTGAGAAAGCCATTTGAGCAAGCGAGTGAGAGAGGACTCTTAAGGATGATTGAGTGAAAGATGAAGATGTGTGTATGTGATGATGAGTGAAAGAGCAAGCAAGTCCTTGGGCTTATTTATAGTACTACAAAAAGTGAGGTTAATTGTGTAATCTTATGAGTGGTTTTCCGACATGTGGTGGCGTCTACAATGGTTATTACAGAGTAATGAAAGAGGAAAAAATGAAATTGTATTTCATGTAATAAGAAAAATAACCACTAATTATTACAGAGAGTAATTGTTTCCAACTGGGCATCAAAATTTCTGTGGCTGTGTTACTAAGCTTATCTTTAAAGTAAATTTTTATTCACTGAAAACCATATCTCAAGATTTTCTTATAATCTTATTTAAAGTAATTAATTTGTTTTTTTCATAATATGGTTAACAAATAGATGTGAGCCATATATGAAAATGTGCAACTCATTTGGGGAAAGAAACTTTATATGCATGACCTGTACATATGTATTATATAGCTGGAGAAATTAGTAAAAAATGGAATTAATATATATTTATTGATTTTTCTATTTTTAATTTTATATTATTTGAAATAGATATTTAAATACATTTCCAATTCAATGATAAAATAAAAAGCAGCACAGTAAATTTAAATTTAAAAAAGATTGATTAATTGCAGAAAGAAATGGCAATGTCATCGATGACAAACACATAAAATATGAATGTCAATGTCATCGATGTCAAACACTGAACTTTTTTCTTCTATTTTAATTATTAGAGATCATATCAAACAAATAGGCAACCATAGTGATCCATAGTATCCTATTTTTGTTTATAGTTTATATAGAAATTGTACTCACACCCAATGACGATTGCAACAGAGTAAGACATCTATAGTATAGGCTTGTAGCAATCCATTTTATCGTATGGCGAAAAGATTTCCAAATTAACTTGCCGATTATCTACCCCTACGATATTTATGTGATCAAGTCTATGTGACTATATATGTATCAGTATCACAACTCCATGCCAATGTACAAACATCCACCATCTCAAAAGTTCTACATTTAAAAAAGATGTTTCCGTATGTATATTTTCAATTAGTATAACTCGAAAAATAAGTAATCTCGAAACCAAACAATACATTTTAGGGTTTAGGCGGCATGGTGATAAGACATAACACACACACACTGGGAAGCTTCATATCTCCTAAGTTAAACACTTTAATTAATGAAAACAAGAATTAATCTTTAATTAATATGGGCTTATTAGTTAGATTACGTCGAGATTACTAAGCCCTTCAGTAAAAAGCCCTTCAGTATTGTATTAATTTCTTAACATCTTTACGAATTAGGAGATTGTCACGATAGTAAATATTATTTTTGTCCACAAAAATCAAGTGAGAATCGTCGACACATCTACTTGTAGTAAATGACCAACTGTAAACTGGATTACCTATAGTTCGAACAAGCTTTGGGCTGATTATTATAATGGGCGACCTGACTTCGTTTTTGGGATGTCTAACACCAACACACCAGCTAATTCGATTACAGATAGGGTAGACGAGAAGATTTAAATTTACGATACATGTTCAAATCAACCACATACACTAGCTATATACGTAATATATTCAGGTGGACAATGCATAATTTACTAAAGTGAGTAATCACAAGATTCCTTGATAACGAACATATATAGATTAATAAAGTTGGATGAAAAAAAACATGTATAAAACAAAATTGAGCTACTTTCTTCTAGCTAGATCGATAATCTTATTTTCTTTTCTCTTTAGTCTTAGTTCCAGTTAAATTAAAGTTTCCTAACAAAATTAAAGATTTCTTAATAAACAACATACAGTGAGATTCATATATTAAGTTGGATGAAAAAAATAAGTATATATTGAACAAACTAACGTTCAGTATCACCATAATTACAATGAACTAAGGAGATTAGTAATGATTAGCTGATTCAAAAATCTTAATACATAACTAATGCCGATACTCATACCATCGTCATAATGATTTTGTACATCATAAGATTCCTATATAAAAGTTTTTAAATCAAAGTTTTCAGTCAAGCATCAATCATATGGTATATATAACGTACCATGTGTTAAATAAACGAGGACTTATAGATTAAAGAAAGAGAATTTTTGAGAAATACCCTTTTTGGTGTACCCTTTTTAAAAATACATATTTTATCTATACATTTTCAAAAATACCCCTTTTTAAATATAAAAAATTATAAAGTTTTATATAGTTTATAAGGTACTTCTATATAATAACTACTACTGGAAGATTCGATACAAATATTTTAAAATGTTTTAAATAGTTTTAAATCGTTTTTATAAGTTTTATAAGGTTTTTAAAAGGTTTTTAAAAGGGTTTATACGGTTTTTATAAGGTTTTTATAAGGTTTTTATAATTTATTTTTACGCTATTTATGAAAGGTGTATAAAGTGTTAGACACATATAAAGGTAATTTGTGTATATATTTATAAGTTTACACACATATTTGGATAAATTTCAACATTTTTAGTGAGTTTTTTGATAAAGTTTGAAAATGGGTATTTTTAAAAAGAAGTATATGAAAATGGGTATTTTTGAAATTCCCCCTTAAAGAAAGACCTAATAATACAAATTAAACATCATTATTTATTTATTTATTTGTAACAATGTAAATACATTAGTAACAGGCTAACAGCAAACGGCGTTGACAAAATAAACACGTGAAAGCATGTGGCAGTACTCGGAAACTGATCATACAAGATTCCAAAAACAGTGAAAACGACACGCAGTTTAAATATGTATACGTTTTTAACGGTAAACGTTCCCTAGGCACCACGTGCCATGCAGCTTACTTGCTGCTCCAAACGATATTGCTTGCACTCCTCAGTGATTCTCGATAACGACTCACCACCGTCGCAACTTAGCGACTCAACAGCCGTGTCTTTCAGTTTCTTCACCTTCTTTCTCATCTCGCAACCTTCCTCCTCCACCATGATCTTTCTCACCAACGCCTCGATTTCCTCCCTAGCGATCACTCCCTCTGACGGTAGTATTTTCGATCGGAGGGCTATGCCAAGCTCCTCGTTGAGCAACGTTGCGTTCATTTTCTGCTCTGCGAAAAGCGGCCATGCGATCATTGGAACGCCGCTAACGACGCTCTCAAGAATCGAGTTCCAGCCACAATGAGTTATAAACCCACCAATTGCTTGGTGGGCTAAGATCTCGGCTTGCGGGGCCCATGAAGAGATCACGAGACCTCTTTCATGGGTCCTGCTAACAAAACCTTCCGGTAAATAATCTGGGGTACCATCTTTTATTTCACCACTATTCACTGACAAGTATGCAGTCCCTGCGATGCCGTCCACCGGTGGTCTGACCACCCAAACGAACCGTTGCTGACTCATCTCTAGCCCCCAAGCCAATTCGGTTAGCTCTTTAGCCGAGAGAGAGCCGCCGCTCCCGAATGATATGTAAAGTACTGACTTGTCCGGTTGTTTGTTTAACCAATCCAAAATTGGGTGATTAGTTTTAGATGTATCAACCGGTCTGGACAAAGGACCGATTGGATAAACCGGTACACGAGCAATTCGACCCATGAGCTTTGGGTCTTGAAGAGATTTCAGAGTTTTAGGCTCCATATCATCCCATGTATTCACAATAATACCATCAGCCGTCGGGAAAACTAAACCAAGAGGAACAAATTCCCGGTAGAGCTGGTCGTTGGGGTCAAGGAATCCTTCAAGTGTATCCTCAAACCGAACCGGTTCACATCCAGGCATAACCATAGGTTGCTTGTTGATTGTGTGCTCTTCTTCCTTGTCTTTGTCCAACGTTGGGAAATACAAAGCCACCGAGAGAAAACGCGCGTTTGAAGCAATGAAGATATAAGTCAACATGTTGAGCTCACCACCGAGCGGTAAGGCGTCCAGGCCAAAGAAGTCTACGATCAGAGCCGTTGGTTTGTACTCCATCTCAGCGATCCTTGATCGAAGGGTGGGAATGGTCTCACGTACCATGACCAAGATCTTGATCCCAAAAACGGCTGATGGGTCGACTAAACCGGAGATATCCGGAGTTGGGAGGCTGATGACATCAAGAAAGGTCGCATCACTGCCTGGTGAGTTTAGGAATTGAGACTGAACAGAGGCTGCGTCGGCTTCAAGGACGAATAAAGTGACGTGGAAGCCGTGAGATCCAGCTAAACGTTTTCCGAGCTCGATCGCCGGGATGACGTGGCCCATCCCCGGGCTAGCCAACAAGACGGCATGTGGCTTTGTAGTCTTCATAATCGCGAACTCTCGATCGATGAACGTTAGCCTCTTTTGGTTGTTGTGTGGGTTACTCTGTGATAGTTGCAAGTGAGTTGAGTTGAGCAATATATAGAACCAAAACTCTATAAATAAAAATGTTTGTTTGTATATTAAAAGGTTTTATATACAACATTATTATTTTATTATCTTTTACATCATCTATGACACTAATTATTTTATACAAAGTAGAAAACTAAATATCATCAATATGTAGTTGTAACTGTATCTCAGTGAACTGTAGATATATATAAACTATGAAGTAACAGGCAACGTGACTTGTTGCGTGCATAGTAAAATGTTTGAAGCATCAACCTATAAATAATTGTAAGATCTGTATACATTAATTACACAAACTAAATCATATATATACGTAAATTACTCATATATAAGCCATCATGCATCATATTATATATCATGTATGTGTGTATACTAATCTATACTTAAATCTTCTTACAGAAATCAATTTATTGGTGAGATACCCATAATAATATTGATATTTTTATTTAATTTTTAAAACTCAACCTAAAATTCTATCTTCATTGGTGAAATACCCATTTAATGTGGGTATCTCATCAGTATATTATTCATATTTTAAAATAATTTTATAAATACATATAAAACTAAATTTTAATAGATTCAATTATATTATTTGATTATGTTTATAAATGTAATAATATTTAAAATAAGCAATAATATTAGCAGAAACTTACATAACGTAATTAAGCATATAATCTGATCTTTTAATTAACACAATTAAGCATAAAACTACTTAGAATTAAAATTTTAAAATAAAAATTATTTTTTGAATCTATATTCTTCAAACAGTACATTGTATTAACTAAATAAATTTAATTGAATTTTAATATTAACCTTACGTGTCAATTTAAAACAATATCAGAATATAATAAATATATGCATAATGGAACTTGATATATAGATAAATATTTATTTTATGATTTAGAAGAAAATAACAACATATAAACTATTTAGTTAATTATATAAACTATGGAAATAATATTCACTACAAAAACTGTGAACCAGTTATAAAGGGGCATGTGTTCATGTTTTGATGAGAGGGGATAAATTTTACATGGATCGCTCATTTGAGAACAGATTCTACTCTCTTTTCATCAAAATTTGTTTCTCATAAATCTTGATTTATTTTATAGGGAGACTCTCATTTTAGAGACCTCCAATGAAAATGCTTTTAGATTCTTAAAGTTTCACTTTTCTTGTACTTGTTAAAAGAAGAGAATAGATGCTTGGTCACAGTACTGTATATTGTAACACTTGGGTTTTCTCAACATAAATGTCTATTTAGTATTTATATAGATTTTTTTTTTTTTTGACAGCTTACAATATGATGGTTATGTATAAAAGTATAGTTAGCAAAAAAAATGTATAAAGTATTGTTAAGTATATATTTCTGAAGTACAAAATAATGATATAGAGTAAAAATCGGTTGAAATTTTATTAAATTCTTGAACCATGTAACACAAAATGGTTTGCATAGATGCTTGGATCATGCCACTGCGGAACGTTTGACTTTGCTAAAATCTTATCGCAATTTGCTCAAACCATTAATGTTTTTTTTGTCTTCAGGCAGTATAGGTCCCCGTCAACTTGATGTTCTAATAATATAGAATGGATCCACCGCTATTTTCCTCACTTAAAATATCAAGCCATCCTGGTTTTGAATTATTTTTAGGTTTCTTTGTCGTCATTTTTTCTACTAGAAACAATAACTACATGAATAAAATCTTGAAAATAAAATTCTGAGTATTATTAATAAGTTTAATGTTATTTAAGAAGACTAATAACAGAAACGAATACATGTAATGCAGATTCCTATTGGTCATTGTATATTGTGTTTTCACGACTTTTTTTTCTTTCTCTTTTTTTTTTTACGTTGTTTTCACGACTTTGCCTACACATAAAAAAACAAAAAACAAAAAAAGAAAAAAGATAACGAGATATTTCAAAACATTGGACAAAAAATCGAATCTATAAGACTGATGCCCATCTCCAGTATAACGAGGCTTGCGAAAATATCAAAACCGCCTCCATGTATCACACACAACTTGAATTCAAGGTCGATAAAAATATACTGTATACATTTTAGTAAGCGACGCCCTATCCACATGTTTTGTCGAGTTGAATTATTCAACTTAAATTATATGATAGAAAATAAGATTTTCGTAATATATATTTGTACATGATGTCAAACACATCAATAAATCATAGTTTTAGTTTGAACGTATTGGACTTCCAGTACACGTAACGCTATGTGAAAGAATGAATCCGTTTGAACTTCTAATAAAAGAATTTGAAAAATACTTAATACAGTGCAAAGACTAATTAGACATATATTTTATCTTATCATCAATTAAGCGTCCCTATACTCAAAATAATTCAGTTACTATCAACATCCAGTTGACTTGTATAAATTGAAGAATGATTCAATATGCATTTGAAATTTTCAAACCAAATTATCAACTTTGGAATGCATCAACAGTGCTACATTGAGACAGAACTATCAGCTTCTTCTTCTCGTCGTGCTAGTTGAACATAATACTAAACGCCGAAGTATAAAACAACAATGTACCAAAATAATTGAATTAGTTTATAGCAGCCGCGTTCGCTTTTTTTTTTCTTTTCTTGATGGTTCTTGTAACAAATTTTAATTATGGTTGTATGTTGTATAAGTTTGTCAACCTTTTTGTTTTTTAATTTATACTTTTGGTTTTTTTTTTTTGAAGAAATCAATGATTATTGAAAAGGTTTAAGATAGTATAAATTAGCCCTGGGCAAAATATTCGTTAGATTCGCTTCGCTTCGATATTCGTTTCGATTCGATTCGAAAAATTCAAATATCTATAAGATATTGAACCGAAGCAAATATGAAAATCTAGTATTCGTAAAAACCGAAGCAAATAACAAATATTGATTTTTTTAGTACCGAATATCCGTTTCGCTTCGTATATTTATATATATGTATAAATATAAATTATTATATAATACATATAATATATATAATATGTGTATTTATAGATTTGGGTATATATCTGATAAGCCTATTATTCAAATTATTATATTTTGGCTGGTTGGGTTTATTTTTTTGCTAAATGGTGTTTTTAAGCAAATAAAACTTTACTAGAAAAATCATGATTAAAAATAAAACGTGAGAATTCTATGGACGGTGGTTATATTTCCTTCTTATTTTGAAAATATGTCAAATAAAAACCTCTAATATTTCATATTTTGCACTTTATATTTATGTACTATATGTTTTTTGTTTCAAAAAAAAATTAGATGGGTCGAAGCGAAGCGAAGCAAGTAATTCGCAAATATTACGAAAAATATTCGAATATTCGAAGTTCCGAATACTCGTAAATTTACGAATCGAAGCAAATAGCAAAATCAACTATTCGGTTGAGGCGAAGCAAATAACAAATATCACAAATTTTCCGAATATTCGCTTCGTGTCCAGGGCTAGTATAAATTGCCTCGAGTACTTCTTCTCAACCATATCGCAAAAAAGGGTTAAAATGGATTATCAAAGTAATTTGTTTACCCATATATAGCCTTATTTCTCAAATATGATGTAATGTCGTCGTTTGCGTATCCCACTTGTAACTTTTGTTTTATGATCATATATAATCAGTTGCGGAGCTAATTACTTAATTAGTTAGTTGCTTACGTCTTAACTTTTATGAGGTAGATGAACTCCACAAGTTATGTCATCAGCTGTGAACTGGCTTCGGCAGTTTGTGCTCATCTTTAGTAAACCTTGACGCCAAAAGAATTATCTCAAAATCTAAAATGTGTTGATTTACTGGACCAACTCCAAACTGCTAAATGCTTTCTTGTCTTATTTCATTGTGTTCGGCTCTTACCGATTACCCATACCCAACACTATTTAATTATCTAGTGTGCAACCGACCCATTGAGAATTTTATTGTTTGTTAAAGAATAAAATTTGGCCCATTCAGGTCATTTGATTACATGTTTGAGCCCTTTTTAAATATAAACATGGAAATCCAAACCAAATGGTTAGTTATTTGTGGAAATGGAACCAACTTTGTATAATTTATAAACCATGAAGAAAATATGAAAATGACCCGAAAAATACAACTGAAATGAAAAAAAAAAATGAAAAACTCTAAATATACATTTTTCATGACTAAAGAAGAAATAAATTGGAAGATATATATATATCCTTTAAAGATGTCTCTCATACATACATAAACAATTAACAACAACAAAAACATTTTCGAAAATGTCAAGAGTCTCAGAACACATGAACCAACCAACTTGTCATGTTTTTACCAAAAACAAAATTGTCCAACAACAAAATCAAGTCATGCAACGATAGATTCATACTAGTTTTTGGTTTTCTTTTCTCATTCAAATTACTTAAAGATAAAATCAAAACTTACACCGTCCACTAAAAAAATTGGTGAGTGTTGAATGAATGATAAAGAGAGAGATAGGCACATTGAATTTGGATAGTCACGCATGGTTAGAGACAGATAAAAATCACATTCACATGACCCCATCACCCACATGGGGAATGGTCCCTCTCACTCTCACACACACTTGCATTTTCCTTTATCCACCATTGCAAAATATGAAAATATATATTAGATTTGCGAGATGATGAAGAAGCATTTGATAAAGACTGTACAGTAGTAGTAGTAGTCATGAAGACCAAGACCAATCTATTAGCTATGGGTAAACCGGACACCAATACCCGTACCGGACCAAACCCGTCTAATAGTTAAAATTACGATATTACTCTTCTCAACTTTTTTAGTTTTAGCCACGTCCTTTGGTGTTGTTACCTAACGTTAGCTCCAAGTCATCGATACCAACATCGTGAATCTTCTCACCTTCCCACGGCTTCACCGACACGTCTCCGACGAGGTTAAATGTCGGCGACGGAGGACATGTTTGAGAAACGTTAACCGGTTGGAAACTGCCCCATCGACATGAATCAACGGTGGAAACATCTGATTCGTCGCATTCAGGGATCGATGTGTAGTGGCGGAGACGCCGTGTTGGGCTTGACGGAGCTGAGACCGGGAAATTACTGCTTTGCCATCTCGGGAGTCTCGGAGCTGATCCTCTAGGAGAAGAGAGCGGTGGTGTGACAGGGGCACTGTTGGAAATTCGTAAAGGAGCGAGGTTTCCGGACGAAGCTAGGTTTTGGAGATAAGGAATGAGATAAGTCGAGGATTGGTTTGGGTCGAACCGGTTTGGAATGTGATCGAACCGGGTCGGACTTGGGTAAGACGACGAGGCTGGGCTAGCTTGATACGAAGGAATTGGGCTTTGAAAGGCCGATGATTGTGGACTGACTTGGATTGAAGAACACGGCGGTGCTGTGTCCATTGGTCGAGAACCCTGTCGGGAAAAGAAAAAAAGTTCAGCTCAATGTCTGAAAATTATATAAAAACAAAAGAATCTGAAATTTAGAAAATGGAACCTTTCGATAAGTAGTGCCGTCTTCGTGAACGATCCAACCAGCTTCGAGGCAAAGAGCTTTGAGGACTTCATTGTTGTCACAGTGTTTAGGGAGTTTGTAGTTGCCCTGAGATCTAAGTCCGGTGAATATCTTAGCTGCGATGGCTCTTCTTCTTCTCTCTCTCCTCTTGTTGTTCTCTCTTTCCTTCCACGTCGGCATCCTCCCCATCGCTGCCGTCGATCCTCCTCCTCCTCCTCCTCCTCCTGATGCCGTCATTTTCTCTTCTCCTCTGTTTTTAACTTTTCAATTCGGAGTTATCTATGGGCTTTTTTGTGGTTGCGTAATTCTCGAGGAGAGAAAAAACTAAAGAATTTGAGAAAAAAAGAGGCAAAAGTTATAGTAAATGAAGAAAGTTTTTGTAATAAAAATCGTAACGTATGTTATGGATAGCTAACCATATATAAATGATATGATTTTTAAGTTTGCAACTAATTAAGGGAAAAGAAAAAAAGTGAGAAAGGAGATGAGTGAATCGAATGAACTCGCTTACTGTTTAAAAAGCTTGACTTTTGAAGTTGGGAAGTTTGATTATTACAAAACCCACTTTGTTCATCTGACAATGTTTCGGTGGAAAAGGGATAATATTAATTTTGAGTTTGTTTTTTTTTTCACGGTAAGATGAGAATCTGTGAGGTTAGATCCAACGAATTAAAAAGCGAGTACAGGGGTCGAGAATATGTGTCTAGCCGCAGAGGAGTATAGATGATGATGATTACTTGATTAGTATAAGAAATGATGCCATTTGGGTTTCTCCGACTCCACCACTCCGGTAATTGTGGTTACATAAGATCTGAGGATGATGTTTAAAGTTTGGACGGCTCGGATTGAATGGTCCAGTAGACAGCACCACTCGCTTTAGTCAGGTCAACATGGGAATCATGTATGTTCACGTACCAGAGATTTGTGTGCCCTGGTTTGTTTCACACGTGCGTCACAGAAACCTCGAGCCGGAGCTATGAGGGGACCCGTTCCGCCTTCGAGCCCTACAATGCACGTGACTGTGGGGTTCAGACTTCAGATTCGTGGTTTTTTATATAATTACCTCCGGTCTCCGGTTCGAAACTGTGATTCATGTTCTTAATTCTAGGTTAATATATAATTTAGACCGTTGTGTGCATGATTCTAACCAGCGGTAATTCTATGAAGTGTCAAGTGACAAATCTCTGTTTATTAGCCTCTTAAGGAGGACCGAGGACGGTGATGTGATGTTGTCAATTTTTCATGTTGGTAATAGAAAAATTAACACAAACACAACTTAAAGTAGCTCAAGTTGATGGAAAACATAAACACAAAAAAGTTGATTTATCATGTACTTTTAGAGTTACATCAACGTAAATGAAACTAGTATCGAGACTCGAGATCAGCGATCTCGTGGATTGTGGCCGAAGATTTTGCTGGACATATGAAGAAAAAGATTACCATATATGACTATTGTAGCGTTATAACGGAATTTTAAATTTGCAAGATTTCGTGTAATATGATTTTGAACGCGTTGATGCAATACATAGAAACACACATATTAAGTTTGCATTACATTGCATAGAACAACTTTAACTAATTAGCAATATACATTATATCTTTACCACCATTACTAACAATTTCACATAACGATTCAATTATACTTCAGAGATAACCAAGTAGCAGATTCAACAACACTTCGCCAAATCATCCCTTGCACAAGCTTTTCATCCTAGACCTTTTTCGGTACTCCACCAGTGGTTTATTCTCGAAGAGCATACTAAAAATATGCTAATTCTACCAAATCTTCTGCTGAGAGGTTTTACAAATCCTCGAAAAGGGAATAGTCATAGCTTTTGGTATTTCCATTTTTTTTTTGGGTTAAATTTCTTGTTGTTAATGTTTGTTATCACTTATCAGCTATTAAAATGTCATGACATTTTTAACACATCAAAATGGGAATAAGACTTGTAATATACTCGCTAATCATATATGTAAATCAAGATAATAATGATAATACTGCGCTACGACCATGACCAGATACACCAAAAAAGAAAAGAAAAGAAAAAAAAATAATTTAGTAACACACGAGATGAGCTTGTATTGTACTATTGTAGTAATTCCAACGACCAAAACCAAACAAAACACATAGAGAGAAAAAAAGTTTTGTCTCCAATATTAATTAATTATCCTCTCTAATTAGCTCATAACACCGTACATCAACACCATCGTCATCCCAATCACTCCATAGTTTATGACTCCTTTAGACGACGGCGCTGCATTTGGCGGCGATGCAGAGGGTGATCTCGATGTAGACAGCGAAGGCGTTGACGGAGACGGAGAAGGAGTCAATGATTCTGAATCCGGCGTACCGTTGGCCGGCGGGGAAGCAGTTGGAGGCGGTGTTTTACGTGGAGTTCGAGGCGAAGGCCGTGGAGAAGGTGTGGTCGGAGATGCAGCGGTGGCGAGGACTGAAACAGCGAGTTTCATGCCACCTAGGCAGTGACCAGGACTAGGGCAAAGGAAATACATAGTTCCCACTGTTGTAAGATTGATCTTAGTGTCTCCGCCGGAAAAGCTCTGTGTTTCTCCAGTGCTGTCGCAACCATCGAATCCAGCTTTATCCACCACTGACACCGAGTGTGAGGGATCATATTGGAACTCTGTACAAAAGAAAACCAGTAGCTTAAAAAATTGGTTTCTTGTGACGTACGTAAGTTATCTGCACCAAGATTTTAGACCTAGGTTTGCTAGGGGGGGAAAACAAGGATTTTTTGGGAAACAAGTAATCAAATAAACATTTTAGTCACCTAGAGTGTCACCGACTCTGAAAGTCTTTCCACTAGCCCAAGTCGTGTAATCAACAACACTGTTCCAACCAGCAGTATCTCCGACCTGGAATGTCACGGCCAAGATGGAAGGGACGACTGCCGCTAGGACAAGGAAGAGAGTGGCCACCGAGTTTGATCCCATTGAGATATAGATAATGTAAGAAGATAGATGAAGAGAGAGAGAGAGAGAGAGAGAGAGAGAGAGAGATAAGGAAGAGGTAAAATGGTGTGGTGAGTTATATAGAGGAGAAGGCTCTTTAGGAGGAAGAAGACGTACGACTAAACTAAAAGAGAGAGAGTTATTTTATGTTTTTAGAAGAAATGTTATTATAAATGTCTTGGTGGCTTGGTCAATTCATCAATTTCGTCAGCTTATTTTTTTAATGTATATATATAATTTTTTAATTCATCGTTATGTTTACCAGTTCTTTCTTATTTTCAAAATTTTCTGTTGTTAATGACGAACTATCCATGTGCAAATCAGTGTACCATTTTGAAAAAAAAAACATGTGCAAACGTAAAAGTTATATAACCAGTTGAAAAAAGAAACCATAAGTTCATAATTAACATTGTTTTGAAAAATAATAAGAATAAGAGATAATATCATGGAAATGGCTACCACGTAACACGTTCTCTAACCTAATTAATAATCGAATGTACACAAATCCGGTACGGTGTTTCTTCAAACAATAATTCGTTTGACTAAGTATTATTAAGAAAAATCAATAATTTCTCTGACCATTATTAATCTTCGAACGACGGCGATTAAATTATATAAACGCGTGAAAGCAAACCTGCCAGAGATAATCTATATAAAAATGTTACCATAGTCCACACTTATTAGTTAAAATATCTGTATGCTACCATAAAAGAAGTGTAGTTATGTGGAAAAGATAAGATGCTTATCGATCATACTTTATATAAATGTCAGTATACTATCCGGGTTTCATTAGAACCTCATTTGAATCTCTCTTATTCAGTATAGAATCTCATATCCAAACTTGCTTCTCCAATGATTATAAAGCATGTAATTCAGTATAGAATCTCATATCCAAACTTGACTAATTTACCTGCCGATGAGAAGATACTTCTGGTTTCTGATAATGTTCAAAAGCACTAGCTTAAACCATTCAACAGACATAGTTCATTACTAGAGAGATTTCATCAAACGTTACTCTCAAAGTGGATCGATCTGTGGCCATGCAACCCTCCGTGCTACAAGTAAGCCTATCAGTAAAGCATCAAGCCAACTTCACTAATCACAATGTCAGATAGTAATCTACAAAACTGAATTCGATCGGGATCTAGGGTTTTTCGAATTCTTTGTTCATTTTTTTTTTTTTTAATGTTATAATTTTCAAAATTTTAACAGATACAGTATTTTTATTCATACGTGAAAACAAAAATTTTAACATATATAGAGCCTTTGTATAGTCTAGTATAAATTTGCGAATATTATAACATCATTTATCCAGCTTTCCAATTCATCCACCTGACTTGACCAGCCCATCATCAGCCCATGACTAAGATGATAAACTTATGTTAAATATAATAATGGGCTTCTAAATATGGGCTTTTGTATTTCACTAGGGACTGGCAAACACTGTTGCTTCGAGTTTAATAGATGAGTGTAGCCGAAGAAGATGCGATCAGGCAACACTCTCTCATTATTATGCCCATAAAGGAAAATGATTGGTCCTGAGCTATGGCGTAAAGTCACACACATTCTCAGGACATCTGTTTTTTCAATTCACTAGCGCTTTGATATTAGCGGGGCACGGGGCTCTCTATGGGACTTTACCATGGATGGTTCGGTTGATTTACCTAGTTTGCTATTATTCAGGTATGTAGAGTATACTTCCGAAATTACTCTTGACGCTTTGTCCATCCGAATACCTAGAGCTTATATCAAAAGAAAATCTCTCATTGTACCTATATAAGCTTATTCAATCCAATGATCTTTAATAGCTTTTGACTATCTTTAGTGTCTTATCTATCTCGGTGATTATAGCATAATAAAAGCATATTACTATCAACATAATGATGTGCTATGCAAAATATACTATGGTTAATTAATTAATCTAATCATGATTAATAAGTTAATTTGTCTTCTCCATTTGGGACTAGTGGCAAAACTTATAGTAACTTTTAAGACAGCACAGCTTAATTCAAACAAAATCCAACGTGAAACGCACATGCATGGGCACATCGTCATTTAGAATCATTTATTAATTACGGTATCGAATTAAAATCAGCGTCGTAATTAACCGAAAACACGGCTCGTTTTTGTTAGTTGCAAATCAACTAAGAGTATTTTAGTAGGCCGTACATCATTTTCAAAGGGGTTTGTTACTTTCCCATCAATGTCTAACACAATGAGGGAAAAAAAAACAGTAGATTTGAATTTAAGATCATGATCATATGTTTTCCCTGTAGAAACATCTTTTAACAAGTTTTTAAAAATGATTATTACATTTGTCATTTTGAACAAAAATAAAAACTGCCTCGTATCAATTACCAAGTTTACAAAACAAAATTCAGTTTTCTTTGTTAGAATACATATAATTTATTATAAATAAAGTGATATATTATTTTTTCTCGTAGCTAGTTTTCGGGTAGAGCTCTCGTAATGGTAATGGTATTGTTTTAGAAACCTTAAGAACAAGAGATTAAGAATATATAAAAGACACATTTCTTTTATTGCTTTAGAAAATAACTCAAAACTAAAGCTCTCACAAATCTCTCAATCTCACACACTAAAGTCATAACTCGACTTCTCTATTTATATAAAACCAAAACCACCTAAGTCCTAATCCAAATAGGACTTTATAAAACCATAAAACCATTAACCCTAATCCATATCTCGGTAGGATTATAATAACTTGTCCTTCAAGTCTTCGTCTTCTTCAAGCTTAACTCAACATTCTCCCCCTTAAGCTTGAACACATCCTTCTTCAAGTCCTGAACTCCAATGAACTCTCTCATTTCCCTAAACTTGATCTTCCCTAAAGCCTTTGTTAAAATGTCCGCCTTTTGTTCCTTTCCCGGAACATACTCCACTTCTATATATCCATTCTCAACACATTCTCTTATAAAATGATAACGCCTATGAATATGTTTACTTCTTCCATGAAAAACTGGATTTTTAGTGAGTGCTAGAGCTGACTTGTTGTCCAAGAAAATTGTAACCTTTTCACTAGAAGAACCAGTTATTTCACCAAGTAGATCCTGAAGCCATATGGCTTGCTTTGCAGCTTCAGTACCTGCCATAAACTCTGCCTCACATGACGACATTGCCACCGTGTTTTGTTTATGAGTACACCATGTAATGGGAAAATTATTGAGATAAAAGATGTGGCCTGCTGTACTCCTTCCATCATCTTTATCCACATTGTGCGAACTGTCACTGTATCCTATTAAGCCACTCTTGTCTCCACGGGTGAAGTCTAATCCAAAAAACGACGTTCCACGTACGTACCTGAGTACTGCCTTCATTGCAGCACCAAGCGATTGTCTTGGATCATGCATATAGCGACTCAAGATTCCTACACAATACGCGAGATCCGGCCGTGTGTGAAGCAAGTACCGTAGACAGCCGATGTTTCTCCTATACTCTGTCTCATCGATGCATTCTTCTTCTTGTGATTTAGACAACTCAAGACCAGCTTCCATTGGTCTAAGAGTCGAGTTACACTCTTTCATGCCAGTCTCCTCGAGTATTTTCTCGGCATATCTCTCTTGTTTCAGCATGATCCCTCCATGATATTGCAGTACTTCAATCCCAAGGTAGTATGTTAAGCGCCCAAGATCACTCATTTCAAATTTTGACGCCATTCCCCTTTTGAAATCGATTATCAAACCCAAATTTGAACATGTGACAAGCAAATCATCAACGTAAACAGCAACAATTAGAATATGCTCCCTTTCTTGTTTCCGATACAATGAGGGTTCTTTTGCACATTTTTCAAATCCTAATTCTTTGAGAATCCCGTTGAGTTTGTTGTTCCAAGCTCTTGGTGCTTGTCTTAAACCATAGAGCGCCTTGTTTAGCTTGTAAACTTTGTCTTCTCTCCCCTTTGCTTCAAAGCCTTCTGGTTGTTTAACAAATACTACTTCTTTTAATTCACCATGCAAGAAAGCGGTTTTGACATCGAGATGATGAACTTCCCAAGAGTTTGAAGCAACAAGAGCAAGAATGAACCGGATTGTCTCAATACGAGCTACGGGAGCAAAGACTTCGTCGAAATCAATACCATGTCGTTGTACATACCCTTTGGCCACGAGCCTTGCCTTATATTTATTTAAGCTTCCATCAGAATTCCTCTTGATTTTAAAAACCCATTTTAAGCC